ATAAACCTACTCCATCTAATGAGAGTTGATTCCTTTTTTACCATCAATTCAAGTTCCCATAAAGTTGTACTCTAATTAATGTGAGGGTATTTTAGTAAAATAGTTACCTGAATTGATTGTTTCAACAAAGTTAACTACTTTTTATTAAACTGTGTGAAAAAAGAACCAGGACTATCAAAGTAGGACGGAGGGAGTATTAATTCTCACTTGATACATAATTCACATATCAAATAAATGGAGATAAAAAATTAAAAAAAAAGGAAACAAAAGTCACTTTAATCTTTTTTCCTTTTCTCCAACATTCTCTCTTACTCATTTTTTGAATGACTATGCAATTTTTTATTTGTAAATTATAATAAATTGAAATTTATTTATTTTTTACTTATTGTGATTGTAATAGAGTGGGGTATGATTAATTTGATTATTTTAAGTTGATTTTTATAATGATCAATATAATTTAAAGATTTGGGCACAGATTGAGAAGAAATTGAAATAAATAAAGTTAATGAAATATTGATTTTGAGCATATAGAGTTAAATTGGTGCAAGTCTATTTCTTTGTAAATACCTTTTTTATTTTTAAAATTTATATTTTTATGGACTATAGCATCATGATGTGATAGAACTACTAGAGATTGTTTGTTAGGTGATGATTTTCTTGAAGTAAACAAAGTGATTGATGAGTATTTTTATTTAACAAGTAAAAGGGTAGTTTAGGATTTTAAAAAATTTTGTTATATAAATAACTTAAATAAGGAAGGTAAATAATATTTTTAAAATTTTAGGAGTACCAGGTAATATTAAGAGAAACCTCAAGGGAGGTTTTGAGGTTTCTGATGTTATCCCTCTAAATAAAGGAATCTGTCGCCAAAAGAGTATTTCGCATAATTCTTTACGGAAGATCTTGATCAGTCAAACATGGACTAGTGGCACAAAAGGTTATCAACGTAAGATTCAACGATAAGATTTCACTAATGATACAAAAATTCAAAATATAAGGACGAGAAAATGCTTATTTTAACTCAATTAACATGTATGGATCAACTTGAACAGTATTTGGATATATCTTATCATATCTATTATAAATATGTATAAACAATTCTGCTCCATATAGACACATACAGCAACACATGAACAGTTGTAGAATCTAACACATTTGTTACAAAGATGTACAAGTAATTAACAATAAATTACAATCTATTGAAAAACTATTACATCGTTTGGTGCTACCATTCTTGCCCCTCCCCTGAAACGCAAGCAACTGCCTCTTTGTTGCTTCATAAATAAATAAATATAGGGACAAAACTAAGGAGAATAAAAATTCAATTTTCTTTTCTTTTAAAATTATAAATTTTCAAAAGCACTTTTTATAAATTTAAAATCTTGTCCCTGCAAAAAACCTAAAATATTTAAGGTTTTATATTTAAGTTTAGGTATATTAAATTTCGCCCCCTTAAGATACATATGTGTGTGTATGCACGCATGCATGTGTACGGGTGTGTAAGTATATATACATATCCTCAAACTCGATTATAGATGAAATATATAGAATTCAGAACATGTATTCTTAAAGCATAGAAAGAAAGAAATTTTTGTGAAAATTTTGTTTATAACGCATAAGATACATATTTATATGTTGTAATATTCATGAAATACAATAAGAAAAAAGTTATGTGTTTTATATTTTTATTTGAAGAAACTGGTTCTCAAAGTATTTGAAAATTTTGAATTTTTTATTATTTAATTGTTCGTGAGAACAAGGAGAGTCTTTTTCTCATCATATGGACGGTGACGAGTGAAATCCAAGTGGAAAAGCATGATGTAGTGAAACAAATTTTTCTCTTGATATATGATAAGTAAGTCATCCAATATCATTTTCACAAATAAAACGAAAAATTTTCAAAGGCATTTTATTATGATAAGTCATTCATGAAAAAATGATACATTAATCAAAGGAGATTATCTCATATTTTGCAATTACTTAAAACATTTAAGAGTAACTTCACACCTACATGATAAATATAATTAGCAAAGGAAGAGAAGTAAAAATGTAGTAAATACTTCTCCTCTTTAAGCAGCCATCATGTTTATTATTTAGTATACAAAAGCTCTCAAAGTTGCCGACTTGAGGAAAAAAAATAAGCAAAACTCTCAAGACTACTCAAGAGCATTCTTGTTGGACATTATTTCGAATAAAACTTTAAATATTCACTATTATAAATCTCTTTTTTTTTTTGTCAGCAAGTCGTACTTTTCATTTCTTTTTTACATTAAGTTGATTGTTTTAAGAATCAAAACTTATCTGCAATCAAAACTACTGAATCGCTCAATAATATACCAGTAAAACATGATTGTTAAAATTAAAATGAAAAAAGAAAAACAGTACTCAAACAGTATTAAAAAATGCAGAGATAGGAATTGAGAACTGCCATATTATTTAGATGAACTTGCATATGCTAACTTATCATAGAGAAGAATTTTAGTCCATTCCGCCAACTTAATAATCCAAAAATAGGGCATCAAATTTCGCATTGAACCGGAAGTTTGCAAGGCCGGTGTGCTCAATTTATTTGATTTTCTTCCTCATATGACCATGCCGAAAGTAACCTTGTTATGATTACCAAGAAAAATCATTCCAAGAAAACAAAAAGCTCTTGCTAATGAAGTTCTGTTGAAATCACCTCTTACCTTCATTGCTTTTCTCAATTTTATCCTCATGATATTTACTTAATAATCAATAACATCATGTTTAACTAGTTTGACAAAAATTATTCACTTTGGTTTGAACAGTAACAAGACATTAGCCATTAAGTGGATGATGTAGGTTTATAGTTTTTTTCTCTCTTTTTTTTTGGGGGGGGGGGATGGGGTAGAGGGGTTGTACATGCATCAGAAAATGATTTGCTTGTATATATATATATAAAAGATGTTGGATGGGTATTGAACAAACAATTAACAAAAACTTTGGGAATGAAGGAAAACTTTTTATTGTTAGCATAAAGGTAACATACACAGTTCACCATCTACAAATGCATAACACTTACCTGTTTTATAATAACTAGAACCTTCATATAAAATGACCAATATTTCGCATATTGCAGTTGGATTCATTAAGATCATTAGTGCTCCTAAACTCCTAGATCAACGGCACTATTTACAAAATCAGATTTCCAACCAGTCCAACGCATTTGTCTGCTCAGCGATGGCCATTCTGGCATACTTTTCTAGCTACTTGACTTCCACATGAATGGCATTTCTTATGCACCATTATAGTTTTTCTTAAGATCAGGTGTGATTAAGGTGTGTTAATGAGTATTTATGGTCAGGTGTGATTAAAGTATGTTAACGAGTGTTTATTGAATACCCATTAAAAAAATCCTTCTTGTTTTTGTCTTCATGATAATTTTTGACAAAAATGATGCACATGATTGACATTTCTTCTGCACCATCCTAGTTTTCTTATGTATACGGAAAATTTACACTCCAAAATTTTGGAGTTCAAAATTTTAGTATTATTAAGGGTAAACAACAAAAAAGCCCCCTGTGGTATAGCTATCATACAAAAAAACCCCCTCTAGTTTCATATCATACACGTCGATACCCCATACTTTGAATTATTGTGAAAATTCGACGGAAATCGTTAAAACAGACGGAGCTGAGTGAAAAGACGAAAATACCCTTTTGATATAAGCGACAATTGCAGAAGTAATTTTGCTCTTCATTCTGTCAAAACCAACGAAGAGAGAGAGAAAGAAATAAAAAGGGTTAATTCCACTTTGTCCCCCCAAACTTTGGACGATTACCCACTTAAGTCCCTAAACTTCAAAATGGGACACTTAAGTCCCTAAATTTATAAATACCTCCCACTTAAGGAAAATTGTTAACAAATCATGAATGCCGTTGGTAGTCGAAGTGTCCCATTTTATGAGGGTTTAGGGATTAAAGTGTCCCTATTTATAAGTTCAGGGACTTAAGTGGGAGGTATTTATAAGTTCAGGGACTTAAGTGTCCCATTTTGAAGTTTAGGGACTTAAGTGGATAATCGTCCAAAGTTTGGGGGGACAAAGTGGAATTAACCCAAATAAAAAACCCTAGAGAGAAGATGGAGCAGCCTCTTTTGTAGCCAAATTTCAGCAAAAATTTCGATTGTTATTTCAATCAAATATCAAAATCGACAGATAATACGAGGAAGTGAAGATCTGCGGTGAAAAATCGAAGAAAAAACAGCCCCTTTTGTAGCCAATTGCAGCCCCTTATGTAGCCAATTTTCAGCAAAAATTTTGATTCTTATTTCAATCAAATATCAAGATCGACGGAAAATAGGAGGAAGTGAAGGTTTGCGGTGAAAAATCGAAGAAAAATGGGTTAGTATATCATCTCTCATCTATTTCCATTCGGGTTTTAGGGTATGATGTGGAAGCGAAAATGTTATTTACTGATTTTAGATTAAATTGGAAGGCCATTATTTAACAAAGATAATATTTTTGATGTATTTACGTAATGAAGATGAAGGTTGTTCATGTATGTCCAGCAAACCTAGCTGCATAGATAGACAGCTTAAGCGTCCCTTTCAAATTGCTAAAGTTTTGATAATTATTGAAAGCTTAAAAAGGGATAGCTTTATAGAAGAGGTCCCTCGTTTACTAGCTTTGGTTCCAATTCCTCAATTGTTTGGCAAAGATAAGGCTACGCATTTCATGTCCTAATCTGGTCACCCATTCTTTTTGGTCAGACTCAATTGTTGAGTCTGACAGTCCATGTTTTTGGCTTAAATTTATACTATCAATGTGTAGTATTACTTGTATTGATCAATTACTACTGTTAAATGCCATGACTAGTCAAGCACGACAACTTCTGTAATCTGTAATTATCTTAATATGGCTTATATGGAGACATGTTGTGGTCCAATGTGGTCCCCAATCCCACCTACAATGAATTGTTTGTTCTGATTGTGTTATGTTAGTTTTTGTGTAGTTGTCAAAGACAAATTACTAATATCTGATGTCCTTTATTGCTTATCATGCTGCAGCAGAGGAGAAATCTGAGGACAAAGTTGACATACACATGTATTTTGGTGGGAGATTTAGAGAAAAGCCAAGACTCCAATACACAGGAACCCACATGGCTATTTTCAAAGACAGAATAGAAAATCAGTTATCGATAGTGAGTCTGTGTAGAATGTTTAAAAAGGTAGATGAAGGAGCAACTAGAGTAACTTTTTGGTTTTGTGTCCCAGATGTGGATTTAGAAGGTGGTCTACACCCAATTAGAGACAATAATGATATTGAATTAATGAACCAGTGCTACTGGAACTTGCCTAAGGAAAGGCTAATTTATGCTTGCAGTGGGGATGAGCCATTTGAAAAGGAGCCAGAAGATGGTGGGGTCAGTGATGGAATAAAAAATGAAGGCCATGATACGGGTGCATGTGAAGATGGTGGGGTCACTAACACTACGAGGACAGCTGCATGTGAAGATGATGAAGAGCCAGAATGGTTAAAAGATGGGTTGGAAACAATAGAAGATGAAGACATCTTTAGCCCAAAGAAAGATGCTGTTGGAGACAGCAACTACAACAAAAAAGGTGGGGCAGGGGCAGATGGCACTAGTGCTTCTTCAAAATTGCCAGTGCATGTATTCTCATTTGCTGGAAAGTCAGATGAAAAAAGTTCTCCTAAAAGGGGTTCTGTGAGAAAGAAAAGGGCCAGTAAAAATTCACAATATAGAGGGCCTGACGTGATTCAGCAAATTACACCACCTGTTTCAGAGCAAAGGCCATCAGAAGTTGAAGATGTAAGCATTGAAAAGGGACCTGTTTCATCTCAGAAGCTATCAAAAGATGAAGCTATAAACATTGAAAAACCACCTGCAACATTTAGAGAATCAGATTTGAGAGAAGAAGACGAAAGGGTAGGGAATGCTGAGGTGACTGAAGAGGATTGGCAAGAACCTGTGGTTCCGGATGAAGAGTTGCTAGACAAATTTAGATCTGGTAGTGGAGAAGAAGATGACTGCCTTGACTTTAATCCTAAAGTTGAGTTTAGGAAGCCACACTTTGAGCTGAAAGTGGGGCAAAAGTTTACTAATTTTAGAGTGTTTAGATCTGTGTTGTGTGAATGGCTAGTAAGAGAGGGTTATGAAGTTACTTGGGTGAAAAACTACTCCAAGAAAATTATTGCCAACTGTGCAAAAGGTTGTAGTTGGAGGATTCGGGCAACACCAATTCAAGATGAATCAACCTTCCAAATAAAGTCACTGAAGGGTGAGCATGTGTGTGCTCGAGAATATCAAAATAAGCATGCAACAGCCACATATCTGAGCAGCAAATATCAAGATAAGATCAGGGATAATCCAAAAATTGAGTTGATGGGCTTGAAGAATGACATCAGAAGAGATTTAATGATCAATGTGTCAATTTCTAAGGTTGGTAGAGCTAAGCGTAAGGCAAAGGATATGATGCTTGGCACGGACATGGAGCAGTATCAAAAACTCTGGAGTTATGCCGCCACCGTCCGAGACACAAATGCTGGAAGTACTATAAAAATTCAGATTGACAAAGCACCTGATGGTTCAACAGGTATATTTCAAAGGTTATATTATTGCTTGCATGCCTGCAAGCAGGGTTTCCTTGATGGTTGTAGACCAATAATTGGTCTAGATGGCTGTTTTCTTAAGACAACATTTGGTGGACAATTATTGTCAGCACTTGGCAGAGATGACAACAATAACATGGTGCCAATAGCAATTGCAGTGGTAGAGGTAGAGCGGTATGACTCCTGGAAATGATTTTTGGAGTTGCTAATGGCTGATTTGGGCATGGGAAGAGATAACATTCCTTGGACCTTTATCTCAGATAGACAGAAAGGGCTTGTGCATGCCGTCAATGAAGTGTTTCCAGATTCAGAACATAGATTTTGTTTGAGGCATATGTACCAGAATTTTAACCAAAGGTTCAAAGGAAAAGAAATGAAAGACATGTTTTGGGCTGCTGCAAGTGTTGGCAATGAAAAGGAATGGAAAGTGGCAATGATTGAACTAGAAAAGGCAAACAAAGAAGCTGCTGACTGGTTGAGCAGAATTCCACCAACTCTTTGGAGTAGATCACATTTTACAGGATGTAGTAAATGTGACATTCTGGTAAACAATCTAAATGAGTCATTCAACAACTACATATTAGAAGCAAGAGAGTTACCTATCATTGGGATGCTTGAATGGATAAGGAGGAGATTGATGCAGAGAATTCAAACAAAGAGATCTGGAATGCAAAAGTTTCAAGGAGAAATCTGTCCTAATATAGCAGAAAAGATTGACAAGAATCAGAGGTTGAGTAGGACATTTGTTGCGACCTGGGATGGGGGTCACAAGTATGAGGTTGACTGTGGTGTGAGAAAATGTGTAGTAGTAGACTTGAAAAACTGGACATGTACCTGTGGGTATTTTCAATTAACAGGTTATCCTTGTGCCCATGCATGTGCTGCGATAGGAGTGTGTAGATTACCTATAAAAAATTATGTGCATACTTGCTACACTAGAGCTGAATATCTAAAAATATATGCACATACTATCACACCTGTTCCAAGTGATATTTACTAGATAACTTGCGAAGAAGAGGCCATAAACCCCCCTGTGGTTAGGAGAATGCCTGGTAGACCAAAGAAACTGCGCCGAAGAGCGCAAGATGAGCCTAAGAAGGGTCAAGTATCAACTAGAAAGGGTCTTGTGGTACATTGCAAGAGATGTTTTCAGCCACGGCATAACTCACGGACGTGCAAGAATCCCATTCACCCTAACTCCAAATTTTATAAGGTAATTTTCCTTATACGCTTAAATGTCATTGTTATAGTATCTGTATGTTTTAACAATGTTAAATGGCATTTATAGGCACCTGAAGCAAGCGCAGCTGAATCCATTCAATCACAACCAATTGCTGAGTCGTCCACTCAACCACAGCCAATTAGTGAAGGAGCTGCTGGTACTCGAAGTACTACAAAGAATGGAGATAACAAGGCTGATGGCACCACTGCAACAGTAAAAAGAGCCAGAGCTCCAACTGTTACTGATGTCCTGCGGAAATTAAGGCCAAAGAGATCAAAAGCCTAAGAAGGCTTAATTACCTGCCAGAATAGTGGCCTAGCCGTAGTTAGAATAGCTTTTGGAATATTTGTAGTTGCTGAATGAAACTGAATATTTGGTGAATCTATGTTCTGGGAACAGATTTTGGGTTGAAGTTCTTGGCAACCACCAGATTAATGTTATGTGATATGGGTGATGTGATGTTGTAGTTGCTGAATGAATCTATAACATTTGTTGTATATCTCTTCTGGGAACAGATTCTGTGAACAGATTTTGGTGTCTGTTATGTGAAATGGCAGCTTTAATCATTTTTTGTCTTCTTTTTCGGTCAACTATATAAGTTATAGTTGCTGAATGAATCTGGAAACATTTGTTGTATATTTCTTCTGTGAATAGATTTTGGTGTCTGCTATGTGAAATGGCAACTACATTTATTTTTGGCTTCTTTTTCTGTCAACTATGTAAGTTGTAGTTGCTGAATGAATCTGGAAATTGGTAAGATGATGGCATCCCACAATTCTACTAGCCGATATTTCTTTCCAAATTTCAAGAATTGTGTAGTTTTTCAATTGGGAAGCGGTAAAATTGGTAAGATGATTTGTAGTTAGAACTTTGAATTGAACTTTTGGTCCAACACTGACCATTATTCGGTTGGTAGACATCAAACAAAACACAACAGGAAAAGATAACATAACACAAAACTCCAACTAGTACTTGCTGCAATTCTGTTCATTTTCAAGACACTTGCCCAAATGCAGATTACCAAACAAAACTCCAAATTGCTTATTTCGTTCATTTTTAGGGGTTTTCAAAATGCAGATTGCCAAAACAAAACTCCAAAATACAGATTACCAATTTTGTTCCTTTTCACTGCAAGAAAAAGCCAAAACATCAACAACAGCCTACCAACTAGCAATTCGATAGATGAAGAACTACATCATCAACAACAGCCTACCATTATCTTATCTGGTAGACATCAACAACAATAAAATAGAAAAAATAGCTACCATAACACAACCTCCAACTAGCAATTTCAAGTTCTTCATTTCATTGTCCAAATTTTCCAGTTTTGAGAGCACGCCACCCAAATACGAATTTTCTTGAACATGCTGGCTCACTACGGGGATAGGTGCATCTCGATTTGGCTCGTCTCTGTAGATTGGACTACACCATGAAAAGAATCGACATTCATCTTTTTCACACACAAAATACAACATTCCTTTCGATGGCTTTTCCGACTCAACAATCTTTAGCTTCGCCTTCCTTCCACAATTACATATCTTATACTGGTATCGCAGACCTCTAGCTCCGTTTCCGCCGCTGGTTGTTCGAGAGCTTGAGGAAGACATCGATTCTCCACTTTCCTGCAATTCCTTTGCTGGCTTGCAACCTCTGCTTGATTGATTACTCTCGATGTATGGAAATTGTTCAATTTTGGCTGAAGCCGAGCATATCAGCTGAAAGAATTAAAGTCAATGAAGGCCGAGCCTTCAATTTTGATGGCTCCCTCTTTTTATTAAAGTCACTGAAGGGTAACGAAGGCATATCAGCTGAAAGTTTGTGGTAGAAATCTCTTGTCCGCAAGAAACACGCGCATTTCCAGTGCGTTTAAGTCAAACGCGGTACATTTGACGATTTCCGTCGAATTTTCACAATAATTCAAAGTATGGGGTATCGACGTGTATGATATGAAACCAGAGGGGGTTTTTTTGTATGATAGCTATACCACAGGGGGCTTTTTTGTTATTTACCCTATTATTAATGCACAAATCAACATGTCCTGTGCAAATCGGAATGTTCATGTGAAATGACCAAAATGCCCTAAGGGCAATCAGTGAATCCTTAAGATACTCTCCTATCCAAGAAGACAATTTTCAAAACCTGATTTCCAACCTGTCCAAGGCACCAAAACGTGAAAATTTAGCTTGTTGCCATATACATAACTTATGCTTGTCATATTTGATAGTTGTTATACACCTTCCTAAATTTCTTATATATACGCAAAGTTCAGACTCGAAGGTAGTATAGTTCAAAAAGCAAGAATACTCCAAAGATGGAGATCAAGAAAACCCAAATTCTTCTTCTCTCAACTCTCTTGCTTTCATCTTTGGCTCTCAAGATCCTTGGGAAGAGCCACAGGGAAGCTGACCATCAACTTTTCATGGCCAAATTGAAGCCTAATTCTAACATTGACAAATCCCACTTCACACCATTTGAGAATCCACCTGAGCCTACGCAAGATGGGCTGAAAGAGAAGGATATCATTCAGGAATTGCCCGGACAACCCCCCGTTATTTTCAAACAGTATGGTGGATATGTCACCATCAATGCCACTGCCGGCAGTGCCTTCTATTATTACTTCACCGAAGCACAGGATCCCAAGAAAGCTCAAGATTTGCCCCTGCTGCTTTGGCTCAATGGAGGTATTTATATGTACTTTAAACTAACTTCGATCTTCTTGAGTTTCCTTTCCCTTTTTTTCCCTGTCTACTCTTCAGTTTGTGAACTTGCTTGTTTACAAAATTGCCTTTACATCAGGTAATTTTCGTTGTGTCCAGAATTACATGACAAAAATGCAACGACTAACAGTCAGTTTTGCTACGTTTTTTGAACGCTACATTGGCAATTATTGGGGCCAGCACAGCTGTATAGGACCTGATTTTGATGTTTCGTATGCGATTTATGCATGTTGCCTATGAGCTGTGAGGTTGTTCTGTTTTTTCTAGTAAGTTGAGTCTTCTTTCTTAATGATTAAGGAAGTCTAGTAATCCCACCTAATCAATGGAAAATTGAGTTTCTTTTCGGGCGGTTTTCTGCAGTGTTTGGATTAAGGGGAAGGAAAAAGAAGGAAAAGAAAGGATAAGGAAAGAGTAGATAAAAGTGGCTTGGTCCATGTGTCCAAAGTAAGGAGAGATGTGTAAATTGAGCAAGTAAAAGTAATTTAATTTATTCGGTTTTTTGGTTTAATGGATGCGCAGTCATATGTAAATTAGGCAAGTTAGAGTGATTCAATTCAATTCATTAGGTTATTCTAGCAAGTGCCGATTGTTATACACTTAAAATCATATAAATCATATCAAACTTATCATATAAATGCATATGTTAACAATTATTGTCTTTCTTTGTATTTTCACAAATTTGTAATTTAACTTTTTTTTTTCAAAATAACAATAACTAAACTCTACTTAACCAGTGTCCAAAACTAAATGTAAAATAAACAAGTAAGCCCAACATCTACCTTTCCCCTAAAAAAATTAAAGAAGACCAAATCCTTCCTATTCCCCTCTACTTCCCCTCTCATTCCCTCAATCCAAATGATGCCACATCTAAATGGTATGCTTTTTCTTTGTTATATGACAGTTGTAAGTCTTTTCTATTCGAGTCCATGATTCATACGCCAATGGACATAAGAATTCGCATGAAAAATATTAAGAAACTTTTTCATTTGCTTTACTATGACATCTACTAAATCCATTTAGATATCATAACAGTTTCTTGAGTAACTTAATTATCTATTTCAGGGTAATCATCCATTTTAATAAACTATACTCATTCTGTAACACTACTAGTTCATATTGTGTTCAGAATGATGAGGCATGGATGTCGATTTGGTTTAATAAGACCCCAAAGAGATAAAATCATTGTCAAAAGTCTTTTCTTTTTCTTCTTTCTATATATAAGTAATCACAGTCACAAGTAGTAAGCCAAAAGAACAACGTACCCCACAACTCCTTAAAACTATTTCGGTCTTAAAAGTTTTGGTTCCTCATCCTTTTGTTGACTTAAGTCTCTCATTGACTCCACACCCCCCGCCCCCCAACAACAATAAAAAGAAAAAGAAAACAAAAAAAAAGTATAAAATTTTGGCACTTCCATCAATTCTAATGACTATAATAGATAGGAATGAGGGTCATTTTAGTGTTAATTCACTAACACTTGATAATCTACATGACATCCTTCTGAGTTTTTCAGTTTTCTAAGATCAGATATTAGTAGTAGGGTCTAAAGTGTCATTTCAAAAAACAAGTGGGGGTTGTTGAATCAGGGTGCACTTTGAGATGACAAGGTGGACTAACCGACAAAGTGCATCTAATCTTAAACTCGTTTTAGAGTTCACGCCCTGTTAAGGATTCTAATTCAATCAAAATCAAGAGAAATAATCACATATTGACCCAAAAGGGGGGCCTACTTTAAAATATTATGTTTTCTAATAAATATTATAAAAACTTTAAATTAATTTACATACTCATTCACACACTCAAACAAAGGGAAGGGAGGAGGAATGGAGCAAGAAGAGAGAAGAGAGGAGGGAGGAGGGAGGAGGGAGGAGGGAGGAGGAGGAGGGGAGGGGAAAACCCAAAAGCAAAATAATTTTTTGTATCAATTTTTCGACAAAAGCTTTTTTATAAATTCTATAATAAATTACAGTAAAATTTTATACAAACACTTAAATATACACCATCCAAACGGACCCTTTAATTCAATCAAAATTAAACACCTCAATTAACTCGTCATCGGCAGGATATGTAGAATGGTCAATTCAACGCGGCATAGGCTTTTATGTGTAATGCATTCAATTCAACATGAAATTTTCCCAATTTGTCACTTTCGAAACAGGTCCTGGCTGTTCTTCACTTGGCTATGGGGCAATGCAAGAACTTGGACCATTCAGGGTTGGTAGCGACGGCAAAACACTGTACAAGAATCAATATGCCTGGAATCATGGTGTGGAATTTTCTCTTGAAATTTTACTTCGTTTTGCCTTGTAAATGAAAGGTGTTAATGTCTAGGTACTTAATAATTTTTCAATTATTTTGTTCTCCCAACAGTTGCCAACGTTCTGTTCCTAGAATCTCCAGCAGGGGTTGGATTTTCATACTCCAACGCAACGTCAGATTTGGAGAATTGTGGGGATACAAAAGCTGCTGCAGACAATTACATTTTCTTACTTAATTGGCTTGAGAGGTTTCCTGAGTACAAAAATAGAGATTTTTACATAGCTGGAGAGAGCTACGCTGGCCATTATGTGCCTCAATTAGCACATAATATTATTTACCATAACAAGAAGGCCAACAAGACAATCATTAATCTCAGAGGAATTCTGGTACGTCTCTCCACTTCCATCATTGGTTTCAACTTGATTTTTGTCGACAAAGACAAGGAATTTTTGTTCAACTGTGGGCCTAACTTATCCTCCTCAAAGCGGAGACATCATTAGAGACTTTGGAGAAAAAGCATCCTCGTAATGTGAAACATGATAAGAAAATTCTAAGGCCCAAAGCTTTTTCTCCCACTTGTTCGTCAATCA